ATTACAAAGCCACTTAGGGACGCCGCAGTAGAGGAGGGACGAATCAGGTGGTCCGAACCGATGCGCATTGCATTCGAGCTGTTGAAGTCCACTCTGTCCTCGCCTCCCGTACTGGCTTTGCCAACAGGTGAAGGGACGTTCGTCCTGTATACAGACGCATGCAACTCTGCTGTGGGTGTGGTGCTGGCTGAACGCATTGGAGATGAGGAAAAGGTGATCGCCTATGAGAGTAAGGCACTCACAAAGCAGCAGACGAGATGGCCGACTTACGATAAGGAACTCTGGGCGATCGTTCATGGCATCAGACATTTCCGTCAGTACACTGTTGGTGCCAGATTTGAAGTGGTGACCGACCACAAGCCGCTGGCAAACATACCGACATCGATCGCAGCAGAGCGAGACGGCACAGGACGTCGTGGTCGATGGGCGATCGAGCTGAGTTCTTTCGACTTCAATGTTCGGATCCGCAGCGGTCTGGCCCACGGGAACGCTGATGCGCTGTCTCGCAGACCACCAGATATGGCGTCTGCGGTCCGATCTGGTCAAGCCCAAGGCCAGGGGTGGTGTCCCGGTCGCTCTGTCTCAGAGAGAGGAGATAGAACGGAGACGGTGGGGTCAGTAGCGGGCGGCTCGCCCGCGCCGACGGAAGGCGGTTCGCCTGAGTCGGTTGTGACTCTTGTAGCTCCAACTGCTGTATTCTCAAGGCTTACGCAGGAACCGGCTGCTGTATCAGTCGCTGTGTCACAATCAGTCCAAGAACGGACCCTCCCTCCAATCGCCCAGGCGCAAGCCAGTGACGCGACGCTGTCGGCTCTCCGAAGAGCACACGAGAGGAAGGAGAAGCCAAGGCCTGCAGCGTTCGCTGGGTGGGGAGTGCTGCGAAAACACTGGAGCAAGGTGCGCGTCATGAATGGAGTAATCGGCATTGCCTCGGGTCGACAGTTCCAGGCGGCGGTGCCTCAAACTGAACGGGCCGAGATCATCCGACTGGCGCATGATGATCCATCGAGCGGGCACATGGGTCGCAGACGGACCATCGCCCGGGTGAAGGCTCGATTCGTCTGGCCGGGGATGAATGAGGACATCCGGAGCTTCTGTGCCTCGTGCACGCCGTGTCAGCGGCGGTACAGACCGGCACCCAAAAGACGAGCACCGATGGTTACCGAGGTTACCTCACGACCCTTCCAGAGAATAGCCATGGACATCACGGAGATGCCTGTGTCGAGAAGAGGCAACCGATATGTGCTCGTGATCATGGATTACTTCTCAAAGTTCGTACGAATCTTCCCGATGCCGAATCAGAAGACAGAAACGGTGATGGAGGCACTCCTTCACTGGGTTCAGGAGCTTGGTGTTCCCGAGAGGCTTCACACAGATCAGGGCGCTCAATTCGAATCTCTGATGATGCGTGAGCTGTATCAGAGGCTCGGCATCCACAAGACTAGAACAACGCCTTATCATCCTGAGAGCGACGGGATGGTGGAGCGCTTCATGAGGACCCTGAAAGACATGGTGTCGAAATACATCGACAGCCAGGGCCTTGACTGGGACGAAAGTACCAGATCATACGCCATGGCCTACAATTCTTCCCTCCACGAAACCACCGGTCACACACCTTTCTACATGATCCATGGCTTTGAGCCTCGGTTGCCTTTGGATGTAATGTACGGAACCGATGAAGTCGCAATACCAGCTGAAACCTTCCTGAACAAACGGCTGAAGAACATGAAGCGGGTCTTCGCACAGGTGAGGAGAGCCTCCTCCCAATCAGCTGCTCGAATGGCGGTTCGCCATGACAGCAAACTCAATTTTACCGCGTACCCAACGGGCTTGAAGGTGTGGGTACGAGACCACACTGCCGCTGTGGGAGGAAAACCGAAGCTGGGTCTGCCGTTTAAAGGACCGGTGACCATCGTCGAGAGAAGAGGCACACCGGGGGAGGAAGTTACCTACCGGATACAGGACGTCCGCGGCAAGACACGCGTCGTGCACCACAACGACCTCAAGGAGTTCATCCCTCGTCGGACCGACTTGCGGCCAGTTCAGGATCCGAGTGGTCCAAATGGACGTGGTGAGGCCGTGGGGGTGGATCCCGTGAGCGACTGTGGTAACGAGCATGGCGTTCTGCTCGAGGTGCCGTTAATGCACTTACTCGGGAGAGCTGGCCCATCTGGTGATGTGGGCGTCGCTCAGAGGGGAATGTTGCCGCCAATGTCATACGTGACCAGATCAGGCCGAGTGTCGCGACCACCTGAAAGGTTCCAGGCGGGACTATGAGTGTGGTGGAGGTGGTGAAGGCTGTGATTGTGTATATAGTTGTAATGTAAATAGCGTGTCGTAAGTGTCGCATTGTTCAATGTATGATTGTTTCCGTGAGGGGGGAGGGGTGTTACGGGCGGCTGTGACCGCCCGTTGTGGCATGCCTGGCGCCGCCCGTGGCGCCTCCCCGGCTGGCCGCGCCCGGCGCCGCCCCTGCCGCGTGGCCCTCGGGCGGGGTCGAGGGCTGGCGCTGGCTGGGCGGTCGGCGGCCCGGGAGAGGCAGGGAGACCGTGGTTACGAGCGGTTGGCTCTGTGGTTCTTGTTTGGGCCTCTGCCGATAATACAGTAAAGCATCGAGTCTGAGTGTGTTCAGCTCCCGCAACATTTATTTCCACGTAAACCCAATACTTCGACGGGAGCCAGCGAGGGCCCGGCAGCGGAGCAGCACGTGCTCCGGCACATCAGCCTCTTCTCGGCTCACGGTGCAGAGCGCCGCTGGGCACCGCTTGTCTGGGCACTGCTGGCACGCGGCGGAGTGGAGACAGCCGATTCGGTGCCGTATTGGAGCGAGCGGCCCCGGTGGCCCGCCCTCATCTGGTGCACCGAAATGGCATCCTCTCGGTCCTCTCCGGGGAGAGGGGAGCGGCGGCGTGCTCCCGAGGAGTGGCTTGAATAGTGATTCTGAGCAGTTGTCGCGCCACTGATGCGAGGCCGGACAATGAACCGCCCTGGTCAGCGATCGGGCGTTTGAGGGCAGGGCGGCCGCCAGTTTTGCCAGATCGTCCACGCTCTCATTCCCCTCGATACTGCAGTGGGCAGGAACCCACTGCTATTGCTTAACGACGCTTGGCGACGTTCAACAAGGTTTTCCATGCCTATCTCTACGCCGAAGGTTGAGGCCTCACCTGGGCGGCCGTTCCTCCGCTGAGTAGACTCAGGGCGGCTCGCCAGTTCGAGCACGCGACGACCGGGGCGGGGACGTGTCGTCCCGAAACCTCTCCAGAGCCGCCCGCGGGGTGAATCTGCTGCTAGATTGACCAGCGTACCGCATAAATTCGGTGACTGTCTTTCGCCAAAAATTTATGCGACCGCCCTGCACCGAAAAATTCTTCCGCCGCCATGCGCTGAATTCGGCGCATGCGAAGTTACGCCAGACGTGCGCTTAAATTTTCGGCGCAATCCCGCCACTACGCCGGACATATTCGGCATAACGTGTATTTTTCCAGTCTGGCTCACCGGTATGGATATGGCTGCTGGCAGGCTGTAGCCGGCCTTTGTCAGTAAGGGATTGGCTATGCATGGTTCTGTGCGTACATATGATTTCAGACCAAATTCTGCCCTAGCCCAGTATGCGCGCTTAGAATGTGGAGGGCATGCCAACATGTTCCTCTCAGCGGGGACTATGTCCTTGTGAACCCTTCCATTCAGAAGATTCAGAGCAAATTGATAACATAAATCCTTGGCTGGAGTGGTTGCTGGGGTGCTAAGACTTAAAATATGCGCTAATGTCAGGTGTCAGCCAGTAGCGGCGGAACACCTTCAATTAGGGGGGGGGGGGGGGGCACTGCCGACTTTTGGTCCCAGTCCCATTATTTCCATGCAACGCCCATAGGGCTAATGTTAAAATGCCAAAGCCAAAGGGGGGCACGGCACGGTGCCCCGGTGCCCTCCTCGTTCCGCCGCCCATGGTGTCAGCTCAAGCTACAGAGCTGCCATTCCAGCTGTTCTAAACCCCATAATAAAGGTGGTATTTCTCCTGACAGCTGAATCCTCTCCAGTGACAGCTGATCCTCGCCATCTGATCCTCCCCAAAGACAGCTGACACTCCCTGGTGGGGGATGACCTTGCCCGGTGGCTGGTGGCAGCGAACCCTTCCCAGTGATAGCTGACCTTCCCCGGTGGGAGGTCACAGCTAACCCCTCCGACGGATCACCCTCCCGGTTCTGAGCCCCGGCGTCACTGCCTCCCATTGACAGACTTTTCTGGCGGCAGCAGAAAAGTACTCCAGCCCAGCAGACTCCAGCCGAGCCGCACCCAGTGACGGCCGACGCCGAGCGGCCGGTCGGCGCTCCAGACGGGCCGCGCCGCCGGCCAGCCCACCGCCAGGCACTGCACCAGTAGCGGCCGCGCCTGCCCGGCCAGTACCCGGGCCGCGCACACTGCGGCTGACGTGCAGCCCGCCGCCGCCGCAGTCGCCGACCCATGGACGGATACACGGCCACCTACGTCCGGCTGGCCGACCAGACCACCCTGACCTGAGCCCTGTTCAAGTGCTCTGCGGCCGCCGCGGCTCCCGCGGCCGGGAGGCGGAGCCTAATATCGGTTAGGTTGAACACCGGCCTCGCGGCTGCGGCCGCTGCGGCCGGCGACGAGAATGGCACGGTTGTTTTGAAAGGAGATGCTGATCAAAATTTTGTGTGTAATGGCTTTATAATGGCTTTATTACTTCAATTAGTACCTTTTTGAAGCAAGTATTCCTTAACAACATAATAAAATCAACCGAAACAAAGAGCGAAATCCGCAATGTTTTGTCTCACGCGCGCAGTTCATGTCGAAGTTTCCCTGCGGTCGCTCCCGAGCGACCGCGGGAGCCGCAGGAAGAGCTACGCATTACCCAGAATGCTGTTCTCGCCTGATTGGCCGCCAGCTAAGCTCCGCCTTTTTGGCCGCGGGAGCCGCGGCGGCCGCAGACACTTGAACAGAGCCCAGGTCTATCCGCCGACCGGAGCTGGTGCTGCTCCTCAAACACCTGCGGCCCAACACGGCATACTCAGTTCCGATGAGCGCCTGTAACCGAGCCGGCCAGGGTCCTGCCAGCTCGCCCGTCACCGCCACCACAGAGGAGGGAGTGCCGGAGGTGGCGCCGCGTCAGCTGACCTGCCGGGTCGTGTCACCCTCCTCCATCGGTCTCAGCTGCCTGTGGCTGGCCGGCGGCGCGTGCTGGCGGCGCGAGGGCCAGTTCCCGGCCGACCTGGACGTGGCCGAGTTGTGCAGTCTGCTGCCGGTCACAGTCTACCAGCTGTTGGTGAGCGCCCACAGCGCGGCCGGCACCACAGAGTCTACCACCCGGCTGGCCATCCACGCCGCAGACGGAGCAATGATATCTCCGCTGCCGCCGCCAGAAAAGTCTGTCAATGGGAGGCAGTGACGCCGGGGCTCAGAACCGGGAGGGCGATCCGTCGGAGCGGTTAGCTGTGAACTGGCCACAGCCGGGTAGAGCCCACCGTACTCCCGGGACACCTGCTGAATCGTCAGCTGACTAGTGACGTCCTTAACTCCAGAGGTGCTGTCTTGGACGTGGAACCTGCCGCCCAGCTGGTCGGCGCTGACGCCGTCCCTCGTCCAGGTGACAGCCGGCGGCGGTGACGCGGTGGCCGCACAGGTGAATGAGACCGCAGTGTCCACCACCGGCTGCACCGTCTGCTGAACCAGCGACAACAGCAGCCGAGCCGGCAACGCTCCGATCCTGACCTGGGTGGTGGCGAGGTCATCGGTCACGTGACACTGGTACATGCCGGCCACGGACGGGTTGCCGCCGGTCAGCTGCAGAGCCGGCCGGCTGGCGGCGGCGGGCAGACGGCGGCCGTCCTTGAGCCAGATGATGTCGCCGGCTGCCAGGGGCGGCGTCACGTGACAGGTCAGCAGAGCGGGCTGTCTGGTGGTCACCAGCAGCTGACTGGGTTCGATGACAGCGCGGCGTGTCACTGTCACCTCCAGTCGCGTGTTCCGAGCCGCGCTGCCCACCTCCGAGCTCGGCGATCTCGGCATACGCCCGCGTCCCCTGACCTGATCCGGCGTACCACCAGCTGCTGGCCACTGACCTCGACATGACCAGAGTGGAGCAGCGGCGTCAGCTCAGCGCCGCGCACCTGTTGTTGTTGTTGTTGTTGTGGTTCCCTCCAGCCGCGTTACCGCGGTGTAGCCGTGCGGCTCTGGAGGTCCCTCACGGCGGCCGCCAGGGCCGCCACCTCTCCGTCGTCGCGGACGTCTTCCGGGCTCGGGAAAATCGTCCAGTACCTCCGGAGACGCCAGCCCATGAGGGCTGGGCACCGGAAGAAGAGGTGCCGGTACGTGTCGGCCTCCTCCCGGCACACGGTGCACCGGCCCGCCGTACAGTCGGTGTCAGGGCACTGGCGGCAATCGCCGGAAGAGTTCCGTCCAACCCGGTGGAGGTATTGGCGGGAGCCCGACCAGTGGCCCGCGCGGAGTTGGTGGACGTCGACGGCCGACGATCTGTCCCTCGCCGCGACCGGTGGCCGCAGCCGGTTCCCCATCAGGGTCCTGTACCAGCCCTCCGGCCAGGCGGCGGTGGTGCGGTCGCGGGCCAATCTGACGGCCGCACGGTGGGCGGTAGCGACGTCAACCGGGACCGCCGCCTGGGGGAGCGCGGCCGCCTCCTTGGCGATCTGGTCGGCGCGATCGTTACCGTCGACGCCGCGGCGGGCCGGCGCTGCGGGCCACCGTGCGCAGCGTCACACACTGGCGGTGTGGTAGGTGACATCCCATCGTCGCCGCGTCCCATCTCAGAGTGTAAAACATAGTGTTATGCCACTATTATTGATGCTCATTGCTCAGTACGATACAGATAATGGCACATAGATTTAGCATCATCAACTAGGAAAGCATTATTAGTCACCTGTCTTGTCCTCTGTCGACGATTGATCGTGCCACACAGTACAGTCAGTCTTTAAAAGTACCGCCGTATTGGTGCGGTGGATTTCTGACGGAGGAAAGGCTGTTTGATTTTAGAGTAGCCGGACCAGTGGACCTGGGGATGGATAAAGGCTCACTTTGGCTCAGTGACTCTCAACTTTAGCAGCCTTTCCTCGATCGGGCTTGATGGATCCACCGCACCGATGCGCGGTGCTTGGGATGTACATACAGTACATTGGCAAAAGCGTGTAGATACTATTGAGCAGCCTGAACGCCTAAAGAGACCCTCCCACCTTCAAAAAAGTTAATGAATTGGCATAAAAGTGATGTCCAATGGATGAGAGTGAGCAAAAAGGAATATCTACTGGTGTACATTAATTTCCATCGAAAAATATTCAATGTTTTTTTATAGATATTACACTTATTATTTATTTCCCGGGGCCTACGCTGTTCATACGAAGTCATTGGGAAACAGTTATTTGGTATTTTAAAAGTGCGACCGATGTTGCGCGCAAAGTAGCATATACCACCACTGCTTCTTGAAGATGTTAGGATGTACAAAACTATGGTCCTTTTAAAGAAGATAATGTATTTTACTTGACGAGAATGCTGCAAAAATTCCTCCAATAATAATAACCGGTAATTACTTCTATGATATACGTATGAAGGTACCTATTTTGCAACTGTGTCAAAGCACAAAAGAACAGCATTCTGACAGCTCACTGTGTTATGTTGAAATGGCAAGTTTGGTTAAACTTGGTCAGTGCTGAACTTTGATTTTAATTGCTAATTGTTTTTTCATTTCAGAGTGTTAATGGAAACAGACGACGCTGAGCTGGGGCCGGACGCAGCAGGCGACGGACGCTGTAGTGTGCTGGGCAAAATAGTCCAAGATGCTGGTAGCGGGTGAAATACGCAGCTGCTCGTCGTCTCCAAGAGCGCCGCGGACGCCGTGGACTGCGCCATCAAAGTCGACGGAAAGTCGGTTCCAGCAGCCGACCGTCTCAAACTACTCGGAGCTGTTGTGTTCGGGTATAGGGGGTGTAGACTTGGACCGCCTCTGCGGCCCCACCTCTGTGTGCCTGGGAGCGCCCCTGCCGGCGCTCAGCTGTCCGTGCGCGCCAAGCGGCGTGAGTGGCGCACGGGACGAAAACTGACGCTCGCCATACTTGTTTAGTTTTTGGAAGACTCTCTCGGCCCATTCGCACCGGCAGTAAATAAATCGCGTTTCTCTTAAGCTCTCTCTCACTCGAACCGTGAATTACGAACATAACATGGCGCGGTCAGTAGATGGTTCCGTGCGAGTGATTAGTGTATAGCGCGCCGTGATCTGTGACGATGAGTGACATTGAGAAACTGACGCAGCTGCTCCTGCAGCAGGCGGAGCTGTCGGCGCAGCGGGAGCGAGACTCAGCGCAGCGCGAGGAGCGGCTCACTCAGATGGTGGAGCGACTGGTCGCCGACCGACAGCCACCCGCTACCGTCGCTGCCGACGATGCCTCGGCGGCGACAGCCGCCCGGACGTCGGCTGCCGCCCCGCCCGTGCGCCTGCCTGCTGCTGCAACGCCGGCGCCTCAGCTGTCGTCCTCCACATCCCTGCGCGACTTCGCTGTATGGAGGGAGAAGCTGGACGGGTACATGCTTCTGACCGGCGCGTCCGCGCTGCCCGTCACTGCCCAGAGAGCTGCCCTTCTCAGTCTTCTCGACGAAGATTGGCACCGGGTGCTGCGCTATGGACTGACGATAGCGGACGACTCTCCCCTCTCCGCGGTGGTAGACGCAATGGAGAGTCATCTCCGTAAGCAGCGCAGTGTCCTGGTCGACCGCCGTGCGTTCTACGCCCGTGTCCAGGAGCAGGGCGAGAATTTTGAGGAGTTTCTGTGCGAAGTGAAGGAGCTCGCGGCATTTTGCGACTTTTGCACACACTGTTACGACTCACGCCTGCGTGACAAGATTGTGTGTGGCCTGCGGGACGAGGAGACGGTGAAGCGTCTGTTGGAGGATCCGGGGCTGGACCTCAAGAAGACGGTGGACATCTGCCGTGCGCCAGAGAACGCCCGGGCTACCTGCTCCGACCTCCGCTCACCGACGGCGTCAGTGAGCCGTCTGTCGGCATACCGCCGTTCAAGGTCGCGCGATGCGCGCCCCGCGGCCCAACCCGGCGGGCGTTCCGCGGGTACGGCCGGCGTGCGCCGCCCCCAGGCGCGCCCCGCGGCCCAACCTGGCGGGCACTCCGCGGGCGCGGCCGGCGCGCGCTGCTGCCGCTGCGGGCGGGCCGCCCACGCAGACCCGGCGGCGTGCCGCGCTACTAGCGCCATCTGCAACTCGTGTGGCCAGCGCGGCCACTTTGCAGTGGTGTGCGCCCAGGTGGCGCGCGAGAGCGCCGCTGCCCCCGCCGAGCGCGCAGCACCGGAGCGCGCGCGGCCCGCGGTGGGGCAGCCGTCAGAGCCGCGCATCTGCCGTGTCATCAGAGACGTCTACGTGAACGGCATCTCGACGCGGCCGACTCCCACTGTGACTGTCCGACTGTCTACGCCGGCTGGTGTGTTCACCGTGCCGGCCCGGGCCGACTCCGGCGCCGAGGCGACAGTCATCGGAGAAGACAGCCTGTCTTCCATCTGCGTGGAACCAGCGCAGTTGGAGCCCTGCATCGGCCAGCCATTTTCAGCAGTAGGGAAACAGCCGCTCACCTGTGTCGGGTCGTTCCGGGCTACTCTGGAGCTGGGCGACCGATCGACCACCGCTGCCGTGTTCGTCATCAGGGAGCTGACTGGCCTGCTACTCAGCTGGTTCGACTGTGTGGCGCTGGGGATTCTGCCGAGGGATTTTCCGGCACAGATCCGGTCCGTCGAGGACGCACCGCGCCCTGCTGATGACGTCACGGCCTCTGTTGACGTCACATCCGCTGGTGACGTCACACCCTCTAATGACGTCACACCGTCTGCACCGCCGGCCGCTGCCGGCTCCGCTCGTAGCGCCAGCGGCCGCTCGGCCCCGTATGAGGCGCCGCGTGACAGGCCCTGTCCGGCCACCGGGACCGAGACGGGCGCGCCGGCGCCGCCGGCCGATGGACCCGGCCCGGCCGCCGGCCTCAGCGGTCCGCTGCCGGCCTGGGACAGCGACTCAGACCCACCGGAGGCGGTCCGTGCAGCTCATGCAGCCGCTCTGGTGGAGTGTTTCCCGCGTGTGTTCGGGCAAGATTCGACTCTTCGAGTCATGGACGGCGGTCCGATGACGATCGAACTCCGGCCCGACGCGTGTCCGACGTCGGTCACCGCTGCGAGACCGATCCCCTTCGCCTGGCGTGCCGAGGTAAAGGCGCAGCTGGACGACCTGCTGGACCGCGGCGTCATCGTCCCTGTGGACTACCCGACGGAATGGTGCCATCCCATTTCGTGCGTGCCGAAGAACCCGTCCGGGTTTCGACTCTGCGTGGACCTGACGGGACTCAACCGGTACGTGAATCGACCCACGTACCCCTGCCGGTCTCCTCACGATGCCGTGACGAGTCTGCCCGCCGGGCACCGGTGGATGTCGACTCTGGACGCCAAGATGGGCTACTTCCAGGTGCCGCTCGCTGAGTCAAGTCAGGACCTCACCTGCTTCATCACGCCGTGGGGCAGGTTCAAGTTCGTCCGCTGTCCGATGGGATGCAGTGCGTCTGGAGACGAGTACAACCGGCGCGGCGATGCCGCGCTCGGCGACATCCCAAACTGTGTCAAGATTGTCGACGACATCCTGGCCGTGGCACAGACGTACCGGCAGCACCTGCAGCAGGTGATCGAAATCCTCCGGCGCTGTGACGACCGAGGAATCACGCTGAACCCGCTGAAGTTCAAGTTCGCCCAGAATGAGGTCAAATTCTGCGGCTACAAGATCACCCCGGCCGGCTACACCACCGACAATGAAAAGGCGCGCGCCATCGCTGATTTCCCGAGACCGGAGAACGTCACCGACCTGCGGTCCTTCATGGGTCTGGTGAATCAGCTGAGCGGCCTCACACCGGAGCTGGCTGGCTCGACTCAGGCCTTCAGAGACCTCCTCAAGTCGCGCCGGGTCTGGCGCTGGACTGAGCAGCACGAGGCAGCGTTTCTGCACACCAAGATTGTGCTGTCGTCACCGCCGGTGATGGCATTCTTCGACCCCCAGCTGCCGACCGTGCTACAGACGGACGCTGCTAAAACCCGAGGACTGGGTTTTGCACTGCTCCAGAGGCACGGAGAGGACTGGCGTGTGGTCCAGTATGGTTCACGGTTCCTGACCGATACCGAGAGCCGATATGCTGTAATCGAGCTGGAGCTGGCTGCTGTACTCTGGGCCTGCAAGAAGTGCCATGTCTACCTGGCTGGCATGCCCCACTTCGACCTGGTGGTCGACCACCGACCGCTGGTGACCATCCTAAACTACAAGCAGCTCAACTCGATCGACAACCCGCGTCTGCAGCGGATGAGAGAGAAGTTGTTGGCCTACAGCTTCACCACCAGCTGGCAGAAGGGATCGAGTCACGTGATCCCAGACGCGCTCTCGCGAGCGCCCACCAGCGACCCCGCCGCTGATGACGACGGAGCGGTGGACACCGAGGACGACCCGCTGCACGCCAGCGTCATTGCCGCGCTGCAGGCCTCCGCTCGATCGGAGGAGGGCGCCCAGCTGGCTCCGCTGGTCGACTCCACACTGGAGAGAGTCCGCGCCGCCGCGGAGCGCGGCACCGAGTACCAGACTCTCAGCGAGCTGATCCTGGCCGGATTCCCAGAGAACCGGCACGAGACGCCCCCTGCAGTACGAGCGTACTGGGGCGTGCGCCATCAGCTGGCCATCGACGACGGACTGGTGGTCTACGGCGCTCGACTGGTCATCCCGTCCGCCCTCCGACGCGGTGTGCTGGAGAAACTCCACGAGTCACACCAGGGCGTTGATAGGACCAAGCGCCGTGCTCGGCTCAGTGTGTACTGGCCGGGCATCGACAAGCAGATTGCTGACACTGTCGCCGCCTGCGCTCAGTGCCGTCAGCGCCTGCCCAGCCACGCCCGGGAGCCGATGTGGCAGGAGGACGGCGCACCGACACGCGTCTTCGAGTCGGTCTCGGCCGACTACTTCTCCGCTGGAGGACGCACGTACCTGGTGTATGTGGACCGCCTGTCCGGGTGGCCGTACGTCACTGTGTGTCCCCGCACCGCCTCGGCGGACCATCTGACGCGGCAGCTCCGACTGATGTTCTCGCAGACGGGCGTCCCGACCGTGTTCCGGTCAGACGGCGGACCCCAGTTTGCATCAGGCACGCTCCGCCGGTTCCTCCAGCGCTGGGACGTACGGCATGAGATGTCGTCACCGCACTACCCGCGCGCTAACGGGCACGCGGAGGCCTGCGTGAAGACAGCGAAGAAGCTGGTGCTGGCTGCGTCCTCATCGGGCCGGCTCGACCAGGACCAACTGGACCGAAGTCTGCTCGAACTCCGTAACACGCCCCGAGCAGACGGACGGTCGCCGGCACAGGTGCTGTTTGGTCACCCGCTTCGCTCTGGTGTTCCCACGCACCACCGCGCCTTCGCTCCTGAGTGGCAGCGAGCAGCCGCTGTCTGTGAAGAAAAGGCTGCCGAGCTCCAGGAGCAGGTGGTCAGACGCTACGACGAGAGCACGCGCCGGCTGTCACCGCTCAAGATCGGCAGCCGGGTCGACCTTCAAGACCCCGCCACCGGCCGATGGAACCGGATCGGAGTGATCGTGGGCGTCGGTCAGAGGCGCACGTACCTCGTCAAGACCGCCAGTGGCAGGGTCCTGTGGCGGAACCGCCGCTACCTGCGCCCATACCGGCCCCTTCTGACAGAGCCCACCCCGCCTGTGGCTCCGTCCGCCCCGCGCGCGCCCCAGCGGCCGCCGCCGCCGCCGCCAGAGAGCACCGCGGTCGCCGCCGAGCGGGCGGTCCGACCCGCTGCTAGTGCGCCGGTTGTGTGCCGCTCGCCGCCGGTGCGGTCACCCGAGGTGGAGACGGCCGCCGCCGCTCTCCCGCGTCGTTCTCGACGGCAGCGCCGCGCTCCTGGTCGGCTCCGAGTTCAATGGGGTGCGACCTCGTATGAGGAGTGATTGTGAGACAACGTCGTGGAGTGTTGTGTTTTTGTGTGTTTTTGACGACTGTTGTCTCGAGGGGGGATGTTGTGTTCGGGTATAGGGGGTGTAGACTTGGACCGCCTCTGCGGCCCCACCTCTGTGTGCCTGGGAGCGCCCCTGCCGGCGCTCAGCTGTCCGTGCGCGCCAAGCGGCGTGAGTGGCGC